CTCACAGCAACCTCAAACTCTTGGGCTTAAGTGATTCTCTTGCCTCAGCCTCCCAAGTAGCTGGAACTACAGGTGCCCACCACATGCCTGGCTATTTTTTTCTTTTTGGTTGTAGTTGTTGTTGCTTGGCTGGCCTGGGCCAGATTTGAACTTGCCAGCTCTGGTGTATGTGGCTGGTGCCCTAGCTGCTGAGTTACAGGTGTCGAGCCTTCTTTGCATTTTTTCTTTCTTTTCTTTTTCTTTTTTTTATTAAATCATAGCTGTATACATTAATGCAATCATGGGGTACAATGTACTGGTTTTATATACAATTTGAAACGTTATCATCAAACTTGTTAACATAGCCTTCACGGCATTTTCTTAGTTATGTTAAGACATTTATATTCTACACCTAGTAAATTTCACATGTACCTTGTCAGATCTACCGTAGGTGTGGTCCCACCAATTACTCTCCCTTCTCCCATCCTCCCCCCTTCCCTCCCCTCTCTCTCCCCTTTCCCTTTCTTCTTGGGTAGCTTATAGTTGCTACCTGACTAAAGTAAAGTCTTTCATAGTAAGACTGAGTACTTTGGATATTTTTTCTTCCATTCTTGAGAGACTTTGCTAAGAAGAGTATGTTCCAGCTCCATCCATATAAACATGTAAGAAGTAAAGTCTCCATCTTTCTTTAAGGCTGCATAATATTTCTCAAATGCTACCTCTCTGTGCAAGAGCTGTGGTCACTATGTCAAAATTGTAAAAACAGATTACACAGTAATTTTTAATGTAAATGTATATTAAACCTGGTTACAATTAAAGCTTAAAAGTTTTTTTTTTGGTCTCTTTTGCAGTTAATACAGTAATTTTAAAACATACCTTTTAAAGTAGTCATTTTAAGATCAGATCATGTGGGTTTAGGGTATTTTACACAGGGCTTACTACTTGGCTTCACAAAAATGCATGTGAAGAGAAAATGAAAAGCACTGTCCAGGCCAGATGTTGTAGGCACGTGGATAGGCTCTGAGTTCAGAACTAGGTCCACATTCTAGCTTAGTCACTTGCTGGCTGTGTGATCTTCAGCATTTTGTTAACCTTTTCTGAGACTAATTTTCCTAATTTATTAAATGGAAATAGTAACTGCTTCTCAGGGTCATTGTATACACTGCCATCAGGCAGGTACTTAGTTCTTTGTAGTTAGTGTAATCAGAGGATTACAAGCAGGAATCTGGGTGCAAAGAAATAGCTTTTCTTTTTATTGTTTTTTTGCAGTACAAGGGTAACATGTTGTAATGCTATTATGAGGATTTCCCCAAAAGGGCCATTTGGAACATTTTCTTTTCTCACAGGAAAAATGCCAGCTGTGGAACAAGGAGTGCTGGCCGCACAACCTCAGCAGGCACTGGGGGCATGTGGCGGTTCTACACGGAAGATTCACCTGGGCTCAAAGTGTAAGTCTTGGGAATGGACCTTGCGTTACTGTCCAGTATTAGAGTGGCTGCAGTGCTGTCTGTCTCTACAACTAGTGGCCCTTTCTTTGATGAGATTTATGGCACATAGCATCTTCATTTGTGCCAGGTGAGCTGAGCTTGGAATACCCATTAATCAACCAATAAGACAGTGTAGGGCCTAGAATGACATCTCCTCAAGGAGTGAGGGAAAGGAAGGGAAGATCTTCATGTAGCTATGTCAGAGTAAATGATGGGAACAGATAGAACTGGAGGGAAAGCTGCTTAATTAGATGAAATTGCTCTTCATTTGGTGTTCTTGCCCCACACTGAGAAATAGGAGTAATCATTTGAATAGGATTTGGGTGATTTTTCTAAGTTCTCCTGGAGGCATAAGCTGATATTATTACAACCTAATGGAAGTTTTTCCATTAGGCTGTGTTACCAAAAGTTCCTTGCTGCTTTGCCTTTGGTGAGTAGCAAGTAGACCCAGGAGAGTAAACATACCACTTTCGAAGTTCTTAGGCCTGGGAATGCTCATTTGGTGATGGGAAGTCGGCATCCAGGGGACCCATATCCCCGTACCTTGCCCACCTCATTTGTCAGCATTTCTGGTACTGTGTGGCAGACCTAATCCCATGGATTTCTGATCAGAGTAGGCTCTAGAACAGCGCTGCTTATAGTTGCTACCTGACTAAAACCCATAGGATAAGGAATTCTTTGGAATAATAACAGCAACTCATTCGCATAACACTTGGTGCTTTGTGAAGATCAATGTCTGTTTTTTAGTTTGATCTGCCCAGCAGTCTTGTGAAGTGAGAGATGATGCTGTTTTTTGCATGAGGAATTCACGTTCAGAAAGGCAGGCTGACATGCTCAAGGGTGAACAGCAGCGAGAGATAGAACCAGATATTCTGACTGTTCAATCCCATTCTCTTGCTATACTGTCTGTCTAGTAGAAAAGAGACAAAATCAAGTTAAGTTAGAAAAGTTTTATTATTATAATTTGACCAGCAGCTTGACTTGGATCATAGATTTTGCTTGTGAAGGCTTCCCTGGAGTGCTTGAAATTTGGCTTTATGTATTTATTGCCTTTCTTCTGTTATATTGGAAACTTGTAAGGTAAGAATGTATTTAGGAAGTACTTTATGGGGTTGGGCATATGAGAGTTGGCCGTATTCTAGGTCTTTGTCCAAGATAATTTTTTGAGTATTTTGGAGACTCAAATTTTAAGTCTTTCTCAAGAAGGTTGTTTTTAATTAAATCTTAATTTGAAAAAATTAGTTTGGTGATCATTTACACTTAAAAGAGCTTGAGACATTTCTTTTCTTTTTATTTTAGAAAATATCAAATATATAAAATTAGTGAGACCAGTATGTCCAAGACATCAGATCATTTTATTTGTATATATTTTAGTATGTTTTACTAAAAGATAAAGACTCCTTTCTAAAAACAACTGCAGTGCTATCATTACACCCTTAAAATATCCACAGTAATAATTTGGGGACTATTTTAAAATGATGTCAGTAATGTTCCTGGATGAACCTAAGGGCTGCTCCCCCACCCTCTTCCCCTAGGAAATCTTTAGTGTTAAAAATATAATATTATTACTAACAGTAAGGATGCCTTCTCTTCTTTCTTCTAGTGGCCCTGTTCCAGTATTGGTTATGAGTCTTCTGTTCATCGCTTCTGTATTTATGTTGCACATTTGGGGCAAGTACACTCGTTCATAGATTCAGTTACATCCATCTGTCATCTGAAGAAGAAGGAAAAAACCCAACATATCTTGGACCAAAAGTATAGCAATTTTCTGTTCATGAGAAAGAAATTTTTAAGTCTGCTGTTTTATAGGGGACTTAACAAGAATTGCTTTTGAGAAATCAGTTTTTTTCTATGGCTAATAAACTTAAATTCATTTACACCAAGTCTGATTGTTTGTAACTCATTGCTGGGGCCATTAGCCTTTCTGTCTTTAGAATTATAAGTAAATTGTAGAAAATATGTCTTATGGAGATTATATTATTTGTTGGATTGATCGTTCTTTCTGTAACGATGAGGTCATTCAAATCCAAGATACTGTAATTTGCCTTGGCTTGTTTTCTTCTAGGTATCTCTGTCCTAGCGATTGTCATGTTGCGTATTCTGTAGTTAACAAGAAGTATGCCCGAGACTCCATCAAATAGATCAGTGTCTAAAGGCAGCAGGCACCCAGGGGAATAGTCACAGACGCTAGAATCTTGGATGAAATGTTTGTTTGTCCCTTCTGTTCTGTCTTTAAAACCATGGATAATAATTTGTCTCTTCTTCCCCTTGTTTTTAAATTTTTCAAGTATAGACCAAGAGTTACCTTCCATTTATCTCTTGTTGTTAAACCTGTTTTGAAGTAATTCATCTGATAAATTGGATTTACCTAATAAAGTTGTTTTTGTTTTGAAAAGACCTTCGAATCAATGTGAGATAATAGCATTTCTACACTGAGCTGATATAATTTCAACCAATATAAAATTTAAGTTTCACTAACTTTATGCTACCATACTGGGTATAAACACTCAGTTTCTGCTAGGCCCCAGGAAATGCCGGGAAGTGCTCAAAGGTAGCAGAGCCTGGCACTCCATGCCAGAATCCTGGGGAGAGAATGATCCCCGTGAAATGCCCTCGTTGTTCAGCAGAGTCATAAAGGATGAAAAAGTATATTAAACACAATTTAAAAAACCTTTTTCATACAGTAAGCCTATTTACAAAAAAGTTTTTTGAGCAGTTGAGCAGTTTTGTGTTTTGTTTTTTTAAATCCTAGGTATAAAAGGCCAGGTGTGGTGGTTCATGTCTATAATCCTAGCACTATGGGAGGCTGAGGCAGGTGGATTGTCCTGAGCTCACAGGTTCAAGATCAGCCTGAGTTTGAGCGAGACCCCATCTCTAAAAAAATAACCAGGCACTGTGGCGGGTGTTTGTAGTCCCAGCTACTTGAGAGGCTGAGGCAAGAGAATCACTTGAGCCCACAAATTGGAGGTTGCTGTGAGCTGTGACACTACAGCACTCTACGGAAGTTGACAAAGTGAGACTCTGTCTCAATAAATTAAATTAATCAATCAATCCCAGCTGTAAAGTAGTTTTAGGTCCCAGGTGTCAAACTGAAATGATGAAAAGTGTGTATCTTTAAAAAACATTTCCTGAGGCGGTGTATTGGTGAGTGTGCTCTTGTAAATCCTAACAAATGGCATTTTATTGGGGAAAAATTGATGAGAAACTGGTTTCCTTGGATCCTGTGAATTACTTATGGCATGAAACAGGTGTCTTCATTTATGAAATGCAAGGGAAAATGTCTCGATTTCATTTGGAAGAAATCTAAGATAGACATTTCCCCCATGATACTGGGTTTGATGGTACCAATAACAGCTAAAAGTTATGCCTTTAATTGGAAAAGAAATCTGTTCTGTCAGGAGGTGGGGGTGGGAGGGTCTGTTTTGCTGTAGGGGAGATGCTGCAGCCACATGAGGGAGCAGTGTGCTCGTGAGGGGTGCATTCTCTGTGCCGCACCCATCTGCCTTGCCACAGTCTTTCCTATAGACTGGGAGCCGAAAGGCGCTGAATTTTTTGAGCTAGTTTTCAGTGGCAGCACAAGGAGATGTTTCATTCAGCAGAAGGAAGAGAAGGAAAATTGGGGGTTGGGCATAAAGATGTACATCTATTGTGTAGCTGCTTTTGGCTCTGATGATATAATGCTAATACTGTAGCTGAGGATCTCAGTGTTCAAGCTGTTCCTTTCTTTTTTCCGTTTTTATTGTAAAATAACACACCACAAAACTTACACTCTTCACTGTTTTTAAGTGTATAATTCAATGATGTTAAGTATATTCATGTTGCTGTGGAACCATCACCATCATGCACCTCCAGAACTCGTCTTCATATTGCAAAACTGAAGCTCTGTACCCATTAAATAATAAGTCCTGCCCCTGGCCATAGGTAGCTCGTGTAAGTGAAGCACACAGTATTCCTTTTCGTGACTCCCTCATTTCACTTAGCATAATGTCCTCAACATGTTACAGCATATGTTAGAATTTCTTTCTAAGGCTGAGAAATAATTTTGTTATTAAGGATATATCACATTTTGTGTTCCTTTTTAAATAGGTATTCCTAAATTATTGTGTTCAGTAATTCTGAAAGCCTAACAAATTATATCTTTACCTGAGTGAAGACTACCTCGGCCCAACAAATCCTTAGGGCCCCTTGATTGGGGGTTATAATTCTAACCACTGCTGAGAGGACACATAAGCCAGCACATGTTGAATAAACCAAACTGGAAAAATGGGTTATACGCAACTATACTTGGGCTGCGTCCTTTAGGTAATTGGAGAAAAACCATATTAGGGAAAAGGCCCAAAAGGGTGTTTTAAAGAGCCAAAAAAGTTCAGGGCAGCCGAGAGTAGTGGGGGACAGAAAGACCAGTACCTCTGGGTGCTAACATTATACTGGACACATTATCCACATTCACATCCACAGTGGATAAGGACAGATGTGTGCCTGGGAGACCTGTCTTCACATTTGTCCTTGTCCGTCCAGTTTTTTCCCCTAGGTGCCAGTGCCCCCATAGGAATGACTGGAAAACAACATTATAAAATCATGCAAATGTTGGCATCAAGTTAAAATAGATGAAAATAATATACAAGTAGCTTCATTCCACAAAATACCATGCAGCTTGTGGTGCTCCTGTCTGCATGGAGCCATGCTCTTGATCCTACAGAGAGGTGCTCCCTGGGGGCGCCAGAGCCATTGTTGCTTCCTTGAACGCTGGAGGAGGAGTATTCAGGCCAGGACCAAGTTTGACCCTTTGGCTGTGCTACTAGGACTCCAAACTTAGTGGAACTACTTTCCTCCATCTTCTGGACTTGGAAGTGTTCCCAACCTGGTTTCAACTGCTTGGCCCTGTGACTTAGGAGTTGAGATCTTGGTCCACTCCTTTTTCTTCTTCAGATCTCTTTTTCTCACATGAATAAGTGAATGTGGGTATGACAGTTCCCACCAGTTAGGAGGAGGATTAGCCGAGAAGAGAGGTGTAAGAGTGCTTTGTTAATTAGCTAACGTAGGGGAGGCTGAAGATGACTTCTTTTTTTTCTTTTTTGTGGTTATTGCTGCATCTTTTTTTTTTTTTT